CAAAGAGCTTGCTGAGCCGAAAGCCGAGGCGAGAGCTCGTCTGGAAGCCACGGCGGGGGCTCCCGGGACTGGGCGGCAGCAGGAGGAAGCGCTCGGGGGGCCTGGGGGAGGGGAGGGGGCAGAAGATGGCCAAGAAGAGAAAGCCGCCCAGCATCAAGGGTGAGTTCCGCTCCATTTCCACCTCTCTCCATCCCACCTCCTACCCGCGCTCTGCCCCTCTGGCTGTCCTGTTTACATTCAGGCTCTGCCAAGTGGAAGGCTGCGTGCTGGGGAAGAGTTTGCCTTTTCCGGTAGGTGGGGAGACCTCAGCACCGCCGCACCTCTCTTTGCCTCGGCGGTGGAGGGGGGTGGGGTGGGGAGACTACGACAGGAGTTTGTCCCCTTTTTGTGACCTGGAGAAACCTGGAGACTCTTTCTCTACCTCATCCCTTTCCTACTCCACAAGCTGGGTGTCTGTTGCACCTTTCTCCCTCAGGGCAGTGGGGAGAGAAGCGACTCTCGGCTCCTAGGGTCTAAACCTTTTAAAAATCAGTCTCTCTCTCTGTCTCTCTCTCTGTGTGTATGAGTGTGAGAGAGTTAGTTTTTCACGGTCTCTGTTATTCTCTCCTCCCTCCGTCCCTTCATTCCAGGGTAACAAGTTCTGCATCCATTTTCCCAGCCTCCATCCTTAGGAGGAGATACGAGCTGCATGTACAGCTCTCCTTTTCCCCAATGGTCAAGGGGACTTGCTACTGGCCGGCTCCCTGCAGGCTATTTCTCCCTTCCCGACTTGCCTAGGCTGGCGGTGACTGGCTGAGCAGGACCCCTGTTGCTCCTTTGGAACCAGGGCTTCTAAAGTTGGAAAGTTCAGGGGAGAGAAGCGCTGGCAGGAAGGACACGGAAGAGCTTGTTGCTGGGGTGACTTCAGGCATCGCGGCGTGGTCGGGAGCTGGACTCGGAAGAGAGCCTCCTGGGCGGAGTCGGGCAGGGGGGTGTCCCCAGGACTCGCACTACGCGGCGCGTGGGGAGCAGGTGTACCGGCCGCGGGCCTCCGCAGCGCGGACTCGCAGAGGTCGCCGCTCGCCGGCTCCCTAGCGCTCCCGCGCTCTAGCTGGGGAACCAGCAGCGGCCGAGAGGTTGTCTGCAGCACTGCAGAGAGGTGGAAGCCAGCTCGACACCATGCGCGGTGAGCAGGGCTGTGCGCGGGGGCATTGGACTTGAGCTTGGTTGGGGAGGAGGAAGGAGCGGCGTTGGAAGTTGGATTTCGATCCAAAGGATCTGATGGCCTGGGAGGCGGAGACTTACTGCGCCTTGGGATTACATACAATAGGACCATACTCTGAGATGGGAAGGGGTGTACTATTTATTGCATGTATAGGCTAGGTTTACAACAGCGTGCCTGGCTTTGGCGTGCTTCTGGCTTTTTTCCCTAAGTCTTGCTTGTGAGAGCTTAGCTCCACTCTAGAGGTCACTAGGGGGACACAACTTTATCTTGGTGCTTCAGCTTGCTTTTTAATTGCCCCGGAGTACTCAAATCACTAATTGGAAAGGGTTTCAAACCGTGATCCTTAATCTTTTGGAAGGCGTTACTACAAAACACTCGGGATTTCCTGTTTGAAATCATCGTATGTGTATAATAATGTTATTGCAATGTATTTCCTTAAAAATAATACAGCTCCTTAAACCTGATTTTTGTTCTCTCCTAGTGAATTAGTATGTATTTATAGTGGTAGGCGACTGAAGAAAGAATGAGTGAATATATTCATCTACGAAGTTTCCTTATTATACTATCAAAGAATTAGTCCAAACCCAGACTGGCAGGGTGCATTAGCTGCACTTTTGGTTCACTCCTTTTTTATGGAACCATATGGCACGATGAATGAAACAGAAGGATTGGTTTTCAGCACTGCTGATGTGGCTATCCATTGGCAGGAATACATTTCATACCCACCCCAAACCTTGCAGATTGTAAATGGTCCATGAAGAGTGGAAAAAATTTTACAGTTTTACAGTACATACTGGCTGGAGACAATCTTACCCTGAAATTAATCTTGGTAGAAGCACAGAGATACAAAGGAGACCAAATAAATGAGAAGTGAACTAGTGTAAGAGGTTTGATTAAACAGTTACCTCCTTATTACTCCCCCTCAAAAACACCAAGAAGTTTTTGATTTGTATGCCAAGACAGAATTGTGTGTATTTTCTTAAATTTAACTTGATAGTGAAAAAATTGAAGAATAGCAATTAATAGAATTTTGTCATTTAACAGTTCTTCTGGAAGAGTTAACAGTCAAGCTTTCCTAAGATATGTGGTCTCAAGAAATTTCATTGCAGTTCCTTAAAAATAAGGTTTTCTCATACTACATATTTTTCTCAAAAGTTATGTTATTTAGCTCTTACTGACTTGTGTTTTTTTTCCCCCTCTCTCTACTAATGTTGTTTCTTTCTTTCTTTCTTTTTTTTAAACCAGGTTACTTAATATTTCTTAGAAGGAATGATACCTTAAAAATAATCTTTGGAGTTTGCCTTTAGCAAAGCACAGTTAGCTGTGATGTCTTATAGATAACAAAAGCAATTCCAGGAAGTTGCAATCCATTGACTTGTCTCAATTTTGCCTTTTAAGAGGAGAGCTCTACAAAAACATCTGCCTGCAGGCTTGCTGAACTGCTCTTGGTCATATGCTTCTAAGCTACAACCAACTAAACAGGGACTGCCTGGTAGAAAACCAAATTGCTAAATTACTAGGGGGTTTTTTGTTTGGTTGTTTCCTTTGTTTTTTGGCAGTCTGAGGTGAACTTTGCTGGATAATAAACTACAGGTTTAGCAATATTGCAGCCTGTGTTGTTCTCTTATGAGAGCTGTTTCTCTGCTTAGTTACACTGCATGCAGGGAGAGCTCATTGGTTGGAGCATGTGACAGGCAAGTTGCTCATTGGCTTCTAGCAATAGGTACTACACATCCAGAACAGCTAGAAA